CGGCTTTTAGAGCTCTTTTGGAGTTAAAGTATTGGAAAAAACTTTTATTGTTATCCTTAGCCTTTTTTTTGCTCTATTATTTGTTATGATGGGCAAAATGTATAGGTCATTCAATTTGGAATGTTTTCCTACTTAAATAGACATGAATTTAGAGTTACTCTAGGGTCAATATGTTTGCTTTGCTTATGACGCTCACTGATCGACTCACTGCTCCTATGTTTTTCCATATATCATCAGTTTTTAAAAACGTCTTCATTACTATTTTGGATTACATTTTGTTCACTGATTAATATAGGTAAAGTTACCAATGATCAACAGCATAATCAGCAAATTATATTTCATGCAAAAAAAATCATGAAGGTGTTAAGTGTTACATCCGGGCAAGAAGGAGAACAGAGACCCAGAAATTCAAGGAAACAAAGGTTTTAATAGTTGATAGTCAGCACAGAGGGGGCGTAATCCTGCAGGGAAGCGACCCGCTGGCTCTTCTGTCTGGGAGTTCCGGACAAGAGAGGAAGGCACGAGGGAAATCCCCCGATCGGGGAGCCGATGGGATGAAGCCGAGGGGACGCGCTGAGATCGTGGTCGTGGTACGTAGTCCAGGGTCGATGCCAGGGATGTCAGTCCGACGAAGAAGCACGCGAACAAGGAATAAGAGGAGGGGAGAACAGGAGAGCCTGGACTTGGCGGGACAGGTAGGTCAAGGACGGGAGCGTGTCTGAGGAGGGAAGGCAATAAAGTAAGGATCACACACGGGGCTGACAGGTAAGGCGGTGAGGAGCGGGCAGACAGAAGACTGGAAGAACGCTTGGTAAGGCTATGAAACATCAGCACAATACTTCGCGAGGAGTATTGGGTTTGGTTCTGCTTTTATACGTGGCTAATCGTTAGCGGATGCGTTGCACTTGTCCGGTCCCGCCCCTGTGTGCGTCACATTTAGCATCCATTAGAAATTTATTGGGCTTGTGTTACTTTAACGCTAAATATTTTCTTCATTTTGGTTTTTAATTCTTTTGTTTGCATTGCATAAATAATAGGGTTTAAATTTCCTGGGATGATGAAAAACAACATATTTGAAAGCTTCCGGTAGCTGGAGTCAATTTGGATGCGATGAAAAATTACGCCGAGAAAGCCAGTCCACAACATGATCATATAGACCAGTAAGTGGCTGGTGCAAGTTTGCAGTGCCTTGCTGTTGAGCTCCTTGTTTTTCCTGGTGACACAAATTGTAACGATTCTAAAGTAAGTAAGGGCTATGCTGCCCATTGAAGATGCGAGAACAACCATAGTGTAAGCCAGGCCATAAATGTTGTTAATGGTCACATCTTGGCAGGAGAGC